GCCTCCTGCCAGTAACAGCACCCACTAGCCTGATGTGAGCTCCCTGCCTTGGGGGGGTGAGGCACAGACTCCATGCTCAGAAAAACTTCCAGAAGATGCAGGCCCTGCCAGTATCTTGACACAACTTCAAAAGAGGTCGGTCTCCAGGCAAAACCACCCAGCTGAGTCATCCTTGAACTCCTGAACCACAGAAACTGTGAGGTGATACAGGTGCATTGTTTGAAGCCGCTACGTTTTTAAGCCATTGATCACACAGCAACAATGAGTAACCCATGGCACATCTTTTTCTAAAGGCCAGCTCCTCTGCCAGAGTCCTTCTTACTTGGACTTTGTTTTGAACAGGCTTCCAGTAGTGTAAAGATCAAACAGCTCTTTCCTGAACTGGTGTTTAAGAAATATGCATGAATTCTAAGTGACAAGGTGGTTGGGAGTTAGGCCCTCAAAGGAAAACAGGTTATCCTGTTCCAAGGGCTCCAAGAGCTCCTCTCTCTCAGGTCTAAAATGAGTAAGGTGTTTCCATAGATTACTCTGGGCATTTTTCTGTCTTTGTGGTGTCACAGAAGCCCAGTTGTTCCCCAGGGTGGTCAGAGATCTCATCACTGTGTGATGTGAGACTCTAGGGACCCAGGGAACAGGCAGGAAGCAGTACTGGGGACACAGGAAGGATCTCAGAAGGGCACAGAAACTGCAGGAAGTGACATTTAGTCAACAGGAAGAGGAAGGAGATGATAAGACAGAGCATGGTGTGGGGTCCCCAGTCATTTGCCAAATATGTATTGAGCTCCAGGTCCTTGAAGACTCTAGTGTGGACTAACCGCTTTCAACTTTGAGGTTTTGGCCTCCTCAGCCCCATCTGCCTGCCTTTGACTCAATCAGGACTCAGGTTGTGGGATTTCTAGAAGGATCCTGCCTTATAATGGAGCTGTATTCTGCACCTTGCACATACCAATCCCGAGCAAAAGTCCAAGCCAGGGCCTCCTCAGCTTAAGGCAAGGGGTGACCCCATCATCAATTCTTTGTGGTTCTTGTACAGCACATTGCTTGGTGTGATTCCCTGACATTGGGAGATGAAGGGGTGAAGGGCAGAGGTAGCCCAGGCACACCTCACCCCCAGGGCAGTATGGCCCAGTCCAACTTTCTGCAATGTTGTTCTGTATCGGCACGGATGAATGTTTAATTTAAATTTAATTAGAGTATAAATGTAAATAGCCAAATTCAGCTAGTAGTCTCTGACCACCACAAGCTTTCTAGAGATTTTTTTATTTTTTAACTTTAAATATGATTTACACAGAGTAAGAGTCATTGTTTTGGTATACATCTTTGCTACTTTTGACAAATACATAGTGTGATGATGACCATCACAATTACCACCCACCCCCCAAAAATTCCCACATGTCATTTTGTGGTTAACCTTTTCCCAGACCTCCTGCCCTTTCCAAGCACTCATCTGTTTCTGTCTCTATAGTTTTGCCTTTTCCAGAACATCCTATAATTGAAAGCACACACAATACATTTGGGATTCACCTGTGTTGTGTGTGGACACACCTTACTCCTTTTTATCACTGCATAATATTCCACCACCTGGCAGTACCTGGGTTTGTTATCCATTCCTCATTTGAGGTACATTTGGGTTGTTTCCAGTTTTGGGTGATTATGAAAAAAAGCCACCATTAATATTTCTCTACAGTTTTTTTTGTTAACACAAATTCTCATTTTACTAGGTTAAATACCTAGTACAGTCATGTGCATAAAGATGTGTCAGTCAATGACGGGTCACATATATAACAATGGGCCCCATAGGCTATAGAGTCTAGGTGTGTAGCAGGCGGTACCACCTGGGTTGTGTAACGACACTCTGTGATGCTTGCATAATGATGAAATGACCTAATGGCGCATTTCTCGGATTGTAACCACATCATTAAGTGACACATGATAATAAAGAAATTGTGGGTCATATTAAAAGTTAGTTGTACTTTATAGGAAACCAGCAAACTGTAATCCAAAGTGGCAGTACCAATCGCATCCAGTCCTCAACGTAGAGAGCTCACACTGTTGTTTTCTTTTAGCTATGTCAGCATATACCATTGGGGTCAACAATTACAGTTGAACATCTTTTTGTGTGCTTGTTTGTCATGCATATGTCTTCTCTGGCAAAGGAGCTGTTCACATGCTTTGTCTTTGTTTTTTAATGGATTCTCTTGATATTTTATTGCCTTTTTAACAGGGTCTTAATCATCACCGTCCAGCACAGTGTACTTTTCTTGTGAATGGCTCACTGCCTTGGAGTTAGTTCAGCTCCTTTTTTGTTTCCATGACTGGTTCCAGAGGATTCTATCAAGGGGAGAGCCTACTTGTCCTGGCTCCAAAATGTGGTTGAGGTACTTCTTGCAAGCTTTTAACTTCTACTTTTGTGAGTGAATGCTTTGTGGAACAGCTTTGGTGTGCTTTCTAGACCTGGAGATGAAGAGAGAATTGTTTTTCCTCTTTGGTTCTTTGGTGGTGTTTTATTAGCCCCTTTTTTGCCCTCTCCAGAGAAGCTGTTTAAGAAAAAAGGAGTCAGAAGGGATGAAATAGGTGTCCAGACTTGGCAAAGTCATGATGAGTTAGCCCTGTGAGCCCCTGGCATTACTATTATATGGGTTCTTGCTTCTTGGGAAAAGAATAGCCTAGGCTTGTCAGTTTATGCATAGTCTTTACACTGAATATTAAGTTAGGCCTGCAGGGCCTGAAAGCTCCATCAGTCAGACCTGTTATTAAAAAGAGAAACCTCCTCAGATGAGCCAGAGCAAAGGACCTTGAAGGTTGTATGCCGCTTTTTTTTTAATTAAAAAAAAAAGTGATAAAACAGACATAACATTTTCTATCTAAACTATTTTAAGTCTAGAGTTCAGGAGAGCTCAGCACATCCACAAAATGTGTGATCAACACCACCAGCCATCTTCCAAACCTTTTCATCTTGCAAAACTGAAACTCTATTCCCATTAAACTTATGCCCCATTCTCTGTCCCCATCTGCACAGCACCTGACAAACACCCTTCTACCATCTGTTTCCATGAATCAGTTTATTCCAGACCTCTCCTACAAGTGATTGTCTTTCTGCCTTTTTGTGAGCACTTGATTTCACTGAGCATAATGTCCTCAAGGTGCATCCACGATGTAGCACCTTGGAGGAATTTCCCTCCTTTTTAAGGCTGAATGATAGTCAACCGGGTGGACTTTTGGGTGGCTTCCACCTTTCAGCTGCTGTGAATAATGCTGCTAGGAACATGTGTGCACAAATATCCTTTCAAAACCCTGCTCTCAATTCTCTTGCGCATATGGCCAGAAATGAAGTTGCTGGATTATATGGTAATTTATCTTTAATTGTTCAAGGACCCTCTATACTGTTTTCCAGGGCGACTGCACCGACATTCCCACCAGCCATGTATGTACGTTTCTTTGCATGAGCTAAATCTTGTTTGAATCCCTCAAATTCTCTCCATCGCCTTCCTCCAGCCTCTCTCACCTGGTCTACTAGTATCCTAATTAGCCGCCCACTGTCTCTCTGACTCCTGCCAATTTAGCTCCATATCACAACCAGTGATTCTATTTCAAATGTGTGGGTCTGCATGCTGCCCTTCTGTGCACCCACCCCACAGCCCCCGTGGTTTTCCATTGCTCCTGGGATGAGATTCAAATCCTTATATGACCCAACATAGCCCTTTGCTCCTCCTTAGCCTCACCTGATTCAGCTGAGGTGGTCCTGCTTGCTCCCACCCACAGTGACCCACTGTCCTTTCTCAAAGGCACATGCCCCCTTCCTCAGCGCATGCTGTTCCTTGGCTGAAACAGCTTCCCCAGTCACTTCAGTGCAAGTGTCATTCCTCAGGGAAGCGATCCCCAACCCGCTTTTTACTGACCTCCTCCTTCTGTCAAACAGGGTTCTCTGCTTACAGCTTCTCACAAAAATGGGTTACTTGCGCCCCCTCAACACTTACCTCTATTTGTACCTACACATTCACTCATGTGGTGATTGGGCTAATATCTAGTTCAGCCCCAGGCTGGAACGTGGGTGAGCAGAGGTTTCCCACCCTCGGCTGCCCGCAGCTCCCTGCAGTCACAGGTCACCTTGCAACGGAGCCTCGCGGGGCCGGGACAGGGGTAATTTGATGTTTCTTAGTATGTGCACTTGGCTCACGTGTGCATCTCCCAGTAGAGACAAGCTCCCCAGGGAGGGGCTGTGTCTAGAATCATCGCCCTCGCTTCCAGGGCCCCGGGCCGAAGGGGCGACGCTTCGCCGGTGCTGACGCCCCAGGGCGCCTGACCCACTCGGGGTTTTCAGGGAAGGTTTGCCCCAAGCGCCCGCCCTCAGCCTGCAAGGGATGCGCAGCGCTCGCGCGGTGCCTGTGCAGCTCTCGGCTATGCTCTCCCGGGTTTGTTGAGTGACTGAGTGACCAGTCACGGCAGGAAAACCCAGCCTGGCGCTTTGCCTAGAGCTGGTGGGGGGCGCGGGTCGGGTCGGGAGACGGGGGTTGTCTGCCCTTTTCTCCGGTGACTCACGACCAAAACTTTCCGGTTGAACATTTCGGGGTTCCCCTTCCCCGCCCCCCAGAACGTAGGGAAGTCAGCGCACAGTCGGGGGCAGCGGCCGGAGCCCCCGCCTCGCGGGCGCGGGGAGGCCGCGGGGACCAGCCCCCTCCGGGCCGGGCGCGCCCGCACCCCGCACCCCTCACGCAGGCCGCCCCGGGCGCGGAGCCCCCCCTCGGGCGGGCACCCCGCCTCCTCGGCGCGCCCCGGCGAGGCTCCCGCCCCCCCCCGAGGGCTCGGGGCGCAGCCGGAGCCCCGCCCGCGCGCGCGCGCACCCCGAGTCTGCGCGAGCCCCGCGGCCGGGCGCCCGGGCGCCGCTCCCCGCGCTCCGCTCCGCGCCGGCGCGATCCGGCCCGGGATTCCGCGGCGCCCCGCCCCGCGCCGCCCCGCCCCCGCCGCCGCGCCGCCGCGGAGGCCGCCCGAGCTGCGCGAACATGGCCGAAGTCGGCGAGGACAGCGGGGCCCGCGCCCTCCTGGCGCTGCGCTCGGCGCCCTGCAGCCCCGTGCTGTGCGCCGCGGCCGCCGCGGCCGCCGCCTTCCCCGCCGCCGCCGCGCCCGCCGCGCCGCCGCCGCCGCCGCCCGGGCCCGCCGCCCCGTCGCCGCCGCCGCCCGCCCAGCCCCCGCCGCCGCCGCCGCCGCCGCCGCCGCCGCCGCCGCCCGGCGCGGCCGCCGCGGGCCCGGGGGGCGCCGAGGCCGAGGCGGGCGGCGCGGGCGGCGCGGCGGGCGAGGCCCTGGTGGCCGCCGCGGCCGCCTCGGTGCGCCGCAGCCCCGGGCCCGCGCTGGCGCGCCTGGAGGGCCGCGAGTTCGAGTTCCTCATGCGCCAGCCCAGCGTCACCATCGGCCGCAACTCGTCGCAGGGCTCGGTGGACCTGAGCATGGGCCTGTCGAGCTTCATCTCGCGGCGCCACCTGCAGCTCAGCTTCCAGGAGCCGCACTTCTACCTGCGCTGCCTCGGCAAGAACGGCGTCTTCGTGGACGGGGCCTTCCAGCGCCGCGGCGCGCCCGCCCTGCAGCTGCCCCGCCAGTGAGTGTCGCGCCCGCCCCGGCGTGGGGACCCCGGCCCCCCCCGCCCGCGCCGCCCGGCCCGCCCCTCCCTCCACCCCGGGCCCGGGGCCGCCCCCCGCGCCCCGCGCCCGCGACGGGGCTCGCTGCGGGCGGTGGTGCTCGGGGAGCGGGGGGTCCCCCCCCAGCGCCAGTCTCCCCGAAGACCGGAGCCCCTCAGGTGGGGCCGGGCCTGAAGGACAGTGTCTTGGGCTGGAGGGACGGGTCGGGAGGACGCCCTCCTGGCGCCTTGGACAGCTTCGCGAGGGGTTGGGGCGGCCAGGACGCCCCGGGGCGGAGGGGCAGGTAGTGGGGGGCCAGGACGCCCCGGGGTGGAGGGGCAGGTGGTGGAGCGGCCGGGATTCACCCGGGTAGAGGGTGCCCGGACGGCCCTGGGGTGGGGGCTGCGGATGCCTGGGTGACCCGCCGTGTGCTCCCTTCCTCCCGCCTCGCTCCCTGCCCTTTCGTCCGTTCCCACAGCTCCTCTGCTCGGGCTCCCCTGCCCCAGAGATTCCTGCTTTCTCAGGATCTGTTGATCAGGAGAAAGCCTGTTTAATTACTCATTTCCTCTTCAGGCACTTTCTTTTTCTGTTTAGTAATTGCCTTTAACTCCTCACTGGTGTTTATGTTTCTCCAGTGTGCTTTGCCTTCCTCCTTGTTTGACGGTCTAATTACTCCCTCTTTTATAAGTGCCCCGAGTCCAGGGAAATTTTGCTGGGGTAATTCCCAGGGCCCATCGTTTGCTTCCGTAAACTTCTCTCCCAAGATCTAGGGTCTTGGCATATTGGATTGTAAATTTTGTGTTGAATAATTTTCAAGCACAACATCAACAATGAATGACTCATTTCTACCTAGGGTGTGAGAGCGGGAGTATACCTCTATTTTCCAAGCATGAAAGGCATGCGTGTCTGTGAAATCAGGTATCCGTGAATAACAAAGTTGTTCTGCCCGAACCCGTGGTTCTTTTTACTCGGTTCTGTTTTATCCATAAACCCCGCTCTTGCCATCCTGGGCCACTAAGTGCTTTTCTGGGCAATCACTTCTCTGTGAGAAAGTGACAGGTTAAATAGCTCCTTCCCCTCCCTGCCCTGTGGCTCTTTGGGACCTGTTCGGCTCACACACCTTGATATGGTTCAGGTTCTGAGTGCTTCCATTAACATCCTGTTTTCAGAGAAGAGGGCCTACCTGAATCTGGGCTGAGACTTTCCCACTAGTATTTTCTCTGACTCAAGGGGAAGAACTCTTAGTCCTTGGAATCCTCAGGTCATCGACTGAATTGGCTTGTCTCAGTTCTGTGGTTTATAAAGTGCTGCTGTTCAGCCGTTTGCAGCTTGATACTCCAAGGAACTTGCCTTCTTCTGGTGGGCGAATCCAGGCACACCGCCGTGTCCGGCAGCCTAAACATTTGCACTCCCTCTGGGTGGTGACTTGCCCCACTGTGGTGCCTGTCTCTGTTTGATTTAACTGCACCTCTGAGCAATATCCATGTAGCAGGGATATAGATTTTGTAAGAACAGATGTGCAGAAGGAGAAACATTAAGTGGATGTGTACATCTGCCCCCCTAGTGGAAGGTTGTTGGCCTCTGAAGACTGTCAAAGACGGTTGACAAATATGTTTCGTGGTTTGGGTGGTTTTATGTTCTTTTTATTTTACGTTGCTTCAGTTTTGGTTTTTAAATTTTATTGCTATGGCAGTGGTCTATATATAACATTGTAAAGGTTTCAGGTGTATGGCATTATATACAGCATCTGTATATACTACATTGTGGTCACCAAGAGGCTAGTTCCCATCCGCCTCTTACAGTCGACCCCTTCACCTGATTTACCTGCTGTCTCCCATCCGGGTTCTCTTGGTAATTACCATTTGGTTCTCAATCTAAGTTTGTTTTTGTTTTGTTTGTTCATTTGTTTCTTTATCTTCCACACGAATGAAATCCTCCTTCCTCTATCTGACATTTCATGTAGCATAATACCCTCTGGGTCTGTCCATGTTGTGCAAATCCAGATTTTCATCATTTATTTTTATAGCTGAGTGTATTCCATTGTGTATATATACAACGTCGTCTTTATCCATTCAGCTGTCAGTGGGCATTTAGGTTGTTTCCTACCTTGCTCCTATGAGTAGTGCCAGAGAAAACAGAGAGGTGCAGGTACCCCTTTGAACTCATGTTTTTGTGTTCTTTGGGTGTATAACCAATGATGGAATAGCTGGAGAAGGTATTTGTAAATCATTTACCCATCAAGGAGTTAATATCCAAAATATATCAATAACTCATACAACTCTTTTTATTTTAGAAAACTTAGACCTAGGAGGTCGCAGATACAAACTGTGAAGTTAGATGAAGGTTCTTTGGCCTATCACATTCAAAGTTGTCAAGAAATTTTAATGAATTCAGAGCAAGTGTTCCAAAATGAAAAAGTCATTACTGACGCTAAAGGAACTGCAGTAATTAATATGTCTGTTTCCTCTCTGGCTTTGGAGCACAGTTTTGCCATTAAGTTTTAAAGTTAAGAATTTCTTTACCATAAATTAATTTTTTTTCTCTGTATTGGAATTTTGTGAACCTGAATATGCTTGTGTTTAGTGCGCTGCAGTTACATGGGACTAGGAGCTTTTTTTGCATTGTGTGGCGTATAGACACCTCTCGGCATGGGTGACATCCACATGGAGCGACCCTGGCATGCACCCACTACACTCCCCAAAACAGCTGCCACGGTGCCAGTCCCCCCTTTCCTGCTCCAGAAAGCTTGTGCTTAAGAGGGATATCAGAAGCTGCCCCCGTCTGTTATTAGAAATGCATGTTTCCAAATCCTAAATGTTTGTAGTTATTGCTAGGGAAAAAATTCCTTGCGCCACATACGACTTAGTGCTGATGGGAACATAGTGTGGTGTTGTGGCACTGCTCAGCAATGCCCTGGAGGTCCCAGCCTAAGGAAATTCAGGCTTCACTGTCCACTCTTCAGGTAGCCCCTTGTGTACGGGCTCCAGTGTTTCTTCTAGTACTTCAGCTGTGCTCTGGGGCCAACGTTTTACTTTTAATAGGAAATACAACCCTCTGGCTGGAGGTAGGTGTGTACACAAAATTGTGTTTGTAGAAGGCACACACTAATGGCTAAATGAATTTGCAGCTTCCTTGAGGAAAAGCAGTGTCACTGATTGAGCTTGCTTTCGTGAAGTCAGCGTGTGGGGCAGCACGTGGGCAGCCCTGTGGTTGGAAGGGTGGGTGTGGTTTGTGTGTGTGACTGTAGTTCTTTATACTATTAAGTTTGGAATTTGAATTAGATGTGTGTGAACTAAAAAACAGACAACCCATGCACAGTCCCTTAGTTACTTTTCTCTCTTTTTTTTTTTTTTTTTTTTTGCAAATTTCTTTGCTAATACTTTTGTAATAAACCTGAACTCCTTGAATAATGATAGTAAAAATAAGACTTCTGTTTGTGGTAGCTCTTGTGAGTGGTAAGAATTATGGGATTGTTTTTCTTTTTCCTTTTTGCATCCTCGTGTTTTCCAAATTTTTCTGCACTGAGTGTGGCTCCTTTTTTTCATTTTTTCAAACACAGAAAATTTCAAACATAAAGAATAGTGAACTTCCATGTCCCCGCCAGCCAGGGTCAGTAGTTATGTTATGGCCACGCTTGTTTTATCTTCATCCCAAGTAATCCCCCCCCTCCCCCGCTTATTTGAAAGCAGGTCACAAATGTCATATCATTTTGTCTGTCAATATTTCAATAAAAGATAGACTCTTAAAAAAAAAAAAGGCCTAACCACAATGTCGTTATCATACCTAAAACGTTAATAATTTCTTGCTATCTTTAAATACCCAGCCTGTGATCAGATTTCCCTTATTGTCTCATGATTTTTTTTTTTTCCTTTCTTAGGGTGTATTTATTTGAATCAGGAACCAAATCAGGTGCAGACATGCAATTGGTTGCTATGTTTCCCAGTCTCTCTTATTTCTGTAGACTCCAGCTCTCTCCTTTTTCTTGCCGAGGGAGCAGGGTCCCTTGTTCTGTATAGTTTCCCACAGTCTGCTCTTATGACTTGGTTTCCCAAGTTCTCCATTTACTCTCTCTCTTCTCTGTCATTCCTGTGAATTGGTTGTTGGATGCAGAGCTCTGATCAGAGTTGGGTTTGATGTTTTTGTTTTTTTTTTTTTTTTTAACCAGAACTGCCTGATACGTGGGAGTGCGTGGGGGAACCATCAGGAAGCACAGATGTCTGTCTCTTAGCTGTGTGTGAGGGTCATTGCCTGGGTGCCTTACTTTTTCACCCCCTGGACTGGTGTTCACTTTGGCTGTCAGTAGCTATGTGTCGCCACGCTGACTGCTCTCCCCTCTAAAAGACACACTGTGAATGGTAGATGTAAAGGGCAACAACTTCTGCACATGGACCATGATAAAAATTAGTTGTCACCACCAAAGCATTTTATTGCATTGGTAGTTGTTTTAGGTCCTGTGAAATCATATAAACATAGTTTCTTGCTGCTATTCTAAAGATCTTTTTTTTTTTATGATTTTTTTTTTTTTTTTTTTTTTTATAGAGGCATGCTTTTATTTTATTTTATTTTACTTGTTTGTTTGTTTGTTTTATACATGCACTGGGTACAGTCAGAAGCGCGAGAGGGCGAGAGAATTCACCAGAGCCAGAGCGGGGAGCAGAGCAGGCAGAAGGACCGAAGTACACTGCTGAGGGGAGCAGCGGGCGGCAGGAGAGGTCTGCGCGCCATGCGGGACCCTCCTGTGGTGGCCGGGGAGCAGCCGGGGATCGAACCGGCGCCGCAGAGGTCACGGGCAGCTTCGCAACCTCTTGCTGCTATTCTAAATGAGGATTGAAGAATATCAAATGAGTTACTAGCCATCATACAGGTAGTTATCAGATTGAAATTAATTGCAAAATATCCTAGACTTAGTGAAGACAGCAGCTCTTTGCTGAATGCCCACTGTCTAATGTCCTGGCAATCACTGCGTTCCTTCTCTCTCTCT